CAGGTGTCCCCAGGTGTGCTCAGGTGATTCCAGGTGTATCTCCAGGTGACCCCAGGTGTCTCCCCAGGTGTGGAAGTACCCCAAGGTGTGGGAGGGGTTCATCAAGTGCTGCCAGAGGACCAAGCCCCAGTCCTTCCAGGTGTCCCCAGGTGTGCTCAGGTGATTCCAGGTGTATCTCCAGGTGACCCCAGGTGTCTCCCCAGGTGTGGAAGTACCCCAAGGTGTGGGAGGGGTTCATCAAGTGCTGCCAGAGGACCAAGCCCCAGTCCTTCCAGGTGGTTCTGCAGCTGCCCCCGCCCCAGCTCGCCGCCGTCTTCGAGAAGTGCCCGGAGCTGCGCGAGCCCCTCCTGAGCCACGTGAGAGCCCTCACCCCCCACCAGGTGAGACACACCTGCCCACAGGTGAGACCTCGTGGGTACTGGGGACGTCCCTTGGGGGACGGGTGAGATGTCCCTGGGGACGGGTGAGACCCCCCGGGGACAGGTGAGACCTCCCTTGGGGACAGGTGACATCCCTTGGGGGACAGGTAAGACCCCCCTGGGGACAGGTGAGACCTCCCTTGGGGACAGGTGACATCCCTTGGGGGACAGGTGAGACCCCCTGGGGACAGGTGACATCCCTTGGGGGACGGGTGAGATGTCCCTGGGGATGGGTGAGACCCCCTGGGGACAGGTGAGACCTCCCTTGGGGACAGGTGACAGGCCCTGGGCATGAGGGAGATCCCCTAGGGGACAGGTGAGACGCACCTGCCGACAGGTGAGGTACACCTGGACATGGGGGACATCCCCTGGGGACAGGTGAGACCCCCTGGCGACAGGTGAGACACACCTGGGTATTGGGGACATCCCTTGGGGGACAGGTGAGATGTCCCTGGGGACAGGTGAGACCCCCTGGGGACAGGTGAGACCTCCCTTGGGGACAGGTGACATGCCTTGGGGGACAGGTAAGACCCCCTGGGGATGGGTGAGACCCCCTGGGGACAGGTGAGACCTCCCTTGGGGACAGGTGAGATGTCCCTGGGCATTGGGGACATCCCTTGGGGGACAGGTGAGATGTCCCTGGGGACAGGTCAGCCCCCCTGGGGACAGGTGAGACACACCTGCCGACAGGTGAGGTACACCTGGGCATGGGGGACATCCCCTGCGGGACAGGTGAGATGTCCCTGGGGACAGGTGAGACACACCTGGGCATGGGGGACATCCCCTGGGGACAGGTGAGATGTCCCTGGGGACAGGTGAGACCTCACGGGCATGGGGGACATGTCTTGGGGGACAGGTGAGACCTCCCTTGGGGACAGGTGACAGCCCCTGGGTATGGGGGACATCCTTTGGGGGACAGGTGAGACCCCCCCGGGTATTGGGGACATCCCCTGCGGGACAGGTGAGATGTCCCTGGGGACAGGTGAGACACACCTGGGCATGGGGGACATCC